TACTTAGGCCTTAAAGGGGTTCCGATATGGGTACTTTAAAGCCTAAGTATATACTACACGGGTACATGGAGCCTTAGGGGTTTGGGTTTCCATAGCTAACAGGGAAAGCACGTTGTACTAGATGTCCCTATTCTGATGACTCCAACCAAATTCCTTGAAACATCTTGAAACCAATGTGAGCCACTAATAACGCTGTAAACCCTCAGCCCTAAACTCCTAAACTCTAAACCCTTAAGCCCTAGATCCTAAACCCCCAAACCCTAAACCCCAAAACCCTAAACCCTAAACCCTTAAACCCGAGACCTTAAACCATAACCTTGAGTTACGATGCCTAGGAAGCCCTTGCAACCCTAAACCCCTAAACCCTAAACCCTAAACCCTAAACCCTAAACCGCAGACCCAGGCCTTTCCGGAAGCGCCGAAGAGACCGGGCTCGCTTGCCCAGGAGATCCCACAAACGGCTGCAGGCACCAAAAGACTCTGAGGTTAGAAGTATGGGCCTTTCTAGGGAGAAGTATGGGCCTGGCCTTTCTAGGGACCCTTTAAGGGTACGTATAGGGTTTAGGGTTGAGGGTTTAGGGTTTAGGATTAAGGTCGTGTCCACGCAAACCTGCGTGTGTGTGTGTGACGACGGCACCGAGGTAGTTTATGCCTCTAAGGTTAGAGGTATGCGCCTTTCTAGGGACCCTTTAAGGGTACATAAAAGGGTTTGGGGTTAAGGTTAGAGGTATGCGCCTTTCTAGGGACCCTTTAAAGGTACGTCTAGGGTTTAGGGTTAAGGTTAGAGGTATGCGCCTTTCTAGGGACCCTTTAAGGGTACGTATAGGGTTTAGGGTTTGGGGTTGACTCTGAGGTTAGAAGTATGGGCCTTTCTAGGGACCCTTTAAGGGTACGTATAGGGTTTAGGGTTGAGGGTTTAGGATCAAGGTTAGAAGTATGGGCCTTTCTAGGGACCCGTTAAGGGTACATATAGAGTTGAGGGTTTAGGGTTCTTTAGGATTAAGGTTAGAAGTATGGGCTTTTCTAGGGACCCTCCAGGGTACGTATAGGGTTTAGGGTTGAGGGTTTAGGGTTTAGGATTAAGGTTAGAAGTATGGGCCTTTCTAGGGACCCTCCAGGGTACGTATAGGGTTTAGGGTCGAGGGTTTAGGGTTTAGGATTAAAGTTAAAAATTGGGCCCTGAATATGGACTCTCGGGCCTTTCTAAGGACCCTTAAGGGTACATATAGGGTTGAGGGTTTAGGGTTGTGTAGGATTAAGGTTAAAAACTGGCCCTGAATATGGACCCTTGGGCCTTTCTAGGGACCCTCAAGGGTAGATATAAGGTATATGGTAAGTGTATAGGGATCCCAGGGTTAAGTGCCCATACTAGGGGCCCATGTTTTCAACCTTAGAAAAGACAGTTCAGGGTTTAGGCCATTACCCCAAGTCTCAAACTGTCCCAGAAGCCTTTCATAGTCAGGGTCTTTGGGCCCACTAAAGCCTGAAAATATGAGTCCGTAGAGCCTCAGGGTCACCCTAAACCCTAAACCCTAAACCCTAAACCGCATCTGCATCGCTGCGTGCTTTAGGCCCCAAGGTTTGGGGATGTCTGCGATCAGCGCTTCGGATTGAGGGTTTAGGCTTTATAGGGAGCTGTTTTTTTAAGGATATACTGTCGCGTTTGAGGGTTTAGGGTTTTAGGGCATTGGGTTTAAGGAGTTAGGCTTTAGGAGCTTTCAGGCATATGGAAGAGGTCGTCAGAGAAGCCCTTGCCGGCATTTTTTATGACCCACTTATCGCAACACGAGTGTTAACACGAGCCCCTAAACCATGAACCCCACTCAGCAGTGGAATCTAAACGAAGCGCCTGCATACATGGCATAAGATCTAAAACTCAAGTCTTGACACATGCACCCCCAAAACTTCAGCACGCAATTCTGCCCCTTCTCACTATCAATCTTCCAGCGGACCTTAATAAACATCGATATTCTCAGTCTCGATACGTCGGGATGCTACTGTCTCTCTCACTCTCTCGCCCTCGCTCCGTCCTCAAGATCCTATATGCCAGCGCCTAAGTTGGGCGCCCACTCCAAAAACCTAAACTCCCATATATCCGAAATCTCAAAGAACATCTCCCTTAACCCTAAACCTCCAGAAACCTTGAACCCGCCCGAAACCCTCAAAACCACTTGATAAACCCTTAAGCCCTAATCATTTAATCCGAACCCTAGACCTCTAAACCGATATCCATGGGCACCGCGCTGGCCCAATGAAGAGGACAAACCATGTCTGACCTAGGTTGTTGCAGGCTAAAGTACACTGTTTGGGCGTTTAGAGCTTCGGGCTGCGATTATCGAGATTTTGCGTTTAGGCTGGGGAATTGCTACTATGTTCTCTTGGGTGCTCTGTTGGGTTGAGGGGTATGTGGTGTACTTGGGGCTACACTACCCTACGCTACGCGAAACTACACTACACGCTACTATACTAGACTATACTATACTACTCTATAGTGTACTAGGACGAACGGGCAAACTGACGGACGGAATTGTAAGGGTCCAAAGGACGCGAAAATAAGATACTTGGGTTCAAGATAGTAGTTATGTAGGCTAATTCTAAACCGTAAACACTAACCCCCTAAACTCTACACCCAAATATCTCGGAGAGCCGATGATTGTTGGGCAGCTGGACTCTGAGGGGACGGGCAGGCGTGCAGGCGGATGGACAGAAGTACCCTCCATGCGCTCGATGAAGCCTAAGCTCAATTGAATACGGTTGTTATAGAAAGCCTAAAGCATTACCACTACGGTTTAGGGTTTCGGATAATGCACCCGGGTGGGGTTTAGGGTTTAGGGTTTCGGGTTGATGATATAAATCCTGCATTACCGATATTAATAAGGAATATGCCATGATTCCCATAGTTCAGGGTCCTTAAGGTAATGCAGGACTTATATCATCAGCCGTAATGACGAACTTCTCAGACTGTTGCCATGGCTGGTGCAGCTACAGCATGCTTACCGGTTTAGGGTTTAGGGTTTAGGGAGAATGAGAATAGTGTATACTTTGGGGGCCCCAACACATAACTACCAAGTGCCTATCATGATGGTACCTGGACCCTTTGGGTTCCGGATGCTCAAGGCTGCCAACGTGTTTTCAAGTTGCTGCTCCAGGTTCTAAGGGGCTTAGGATCTGAGCATGCGAGCGTTCGAAGCCCAGCTGCCTAGATATAGGGCTTAGGGGTTAGGCTTTTGGTTTTAGGGTTTAGGGTTCAAACATCCTATGCCGGTTCTTGAGGTACAGTAACCCAGTAATCGCTTCATTGGGTAACTGGGCTTCAATGCTTAGATTGCTGCCCAGTCACTCTTCTCGCTGGGAACTCGAGCGCCATGTGATGGCTGCAGAACACGAGGAAGGATGCACAACAGCTCAGGGTCTGTAGCACGGGTTTAGGTTTTAGGGTTTAGGGTTTAGGTTTTAGGGCTTTGGTTTTAGGGTTTGGGTTTTACGGTTTAGGGTTTAGGGTCCGTTTATGAAGCGAGTGAAGACGGCTCAAGATGTGTATGAGCAACGGGTTGACCGGCTGCAGGCCGACATGCCTCCGATTTTGTGCTTAGGCTAAAGATGTAGGATTCGGGCATGGCTTCCTTTCCAAGCCAATGCAACATTTTCAGCTGCGCTCGACTTTGTCACATATGAAGTCATGAAGACCTAAGGTTAGCATAAACCCGAAACCGCACAACAAATCAAGCAGAGCTGGAAAACAATCTGCAGACGAAGATGGACGAAACGACTCTGAACACTCTAAACCCTAAACCCTAAACCCTAAACCCTAAACCCTAAACCCTAAACCTTAACAAGTCCAGCCCACCGAAATCCCTCATGTCCCGACACTGTGAAACTCCTTAGGTTCCGAAAGCCCTTCATTGACCCTTGTGTGGGGGCCTTAATGATTAGAGTAGGGCTATGGGGTATATTATACTATAAGTATAGTATGGAACCACCAAAATATTAAAGGTAAATATTAAGGCAACTATATTAATTCCCGAATTCCGCTTAGGCATCCGAGCCATTTCTTCTCCGCACGCGAGCAAGATGGTCGCCGTAAGAGTTTTGGTATGCCCTTCCACCCAGAGTTCTGATATCTTTTGTACGACTCCATGTAGGGTGTAGGGCCCGTTTAGGGTTTAGGGCTTCTCTTCAGGGTTTTAGGGTTTAGGGATGAGGTTTCAGACTTTGGGTTTTAGGGCTGGTGCATGGGCCTACCAGCAGAATAATCATGGGTTGGCACGGGAAAGGACTTGGTCTATAGTATAGTGAGGCAGTCAGCTTTTGCATGCAAGAAGTTTGTCTGAGCCCCACCAGAAAACTCGGCCGGAGTTTTGTTATTTTGACTTGGGGGGCTCTCCTCTCTGCTCAAATACCTTACATCTCCAAAAGACTTGCATGGTGCATGCGAACCTCTTAAAGTCAAGGGCTGAGGCTTTTGGGTGTAGGAATTTTGGGGCTTACGGTGTGCAGGGCTCCAGGCTTGAGGTTTTCACTCGCCCCGTCTGTTGCCAAAAGGCCGAAGCTAAGATTGACGACAGAATCTGTGAGTGCACACAAAACAACCCTTAAAGGCTAGTCGAGCCCCCAATTTCAGGACTCGCTTACTAAACCCTGTAATTCAGCCCGCGAAAAGTTGAAAGCCCTATAAACTTAAAAACCAAACCCTAAACCCTTGAGGTCAGCTGACAGAGGCCTGTTGTGGCCCCTGAACCTGTCAACCCGACCCTCTCGCCATTGGGGCCTTAAACCCTATGGAATCCCAGATCTCAAGATCTCTTAATGAAGGAATTTACCTTAAATCATACTAGGAATCCCATAATAGCATAAGGTATGTCCGGTATATCCCTGAATCAAATCATATACCTTACGTCATCTTAGGGATCGCTCTATAGCATAAGGAATATTCCTGAATGACGGGAGTTTGGGAAGGTCTGGAAAGCCCCGACCGTCCATGCGAAGCGCTCACTTCAGGCCTATGTGCACTGCAGGCGGCAGCCCCAGGCGGTGTAGATCTGTCAAGTCAGCAAGCAGGACAGGGTTTAGGGTCTATGGTTTAGGGTTTAGGGTCTGTGGTTTAGGGTTTAGGGTCTTGGTTTAGGGTTTAGGCTCTGCGGATTAGGGTTTAGGGTCTATGGTTTAGGGTCTATGGTTTAGGGTTTAGGGTCTGTGGTTTAGGGTTTAGGGTCTATGGTTTAGGGTTTAGGGTCTACGGTTTTTTTAATGCACTAGCCCCCTTTCTCTCGCACGAGGTCAGAAGCTCGCTCAACAGAGCGTGCACTACGCCGAGCCGCAGCTCAAGGCCAAGAACTCAATCAACCTCCTCAGGCTCATCACTGAAAACCCCGCTACTCAGACAACCATGCTCACCGTCAGTCTATGATTTAGGGCATAGGGTCTGTGGCTTCGGGTTTAGGGTTTAGGGACCCCCAATGTCATCACTGCTGGAGGTAAGCTGATGGTCCAAGCACCCTGCCAGATACTGACCTACTGAACTACCATCCTAAACCCAAGTGATTAAATCTTTGGACTCTGCCCTGAGGGTGTAGGGTTGCGTCAGGAGAGGCTTCTGTTCTATTTTGGTCGGCACAGGCAGTGCTACTACCTGGGGGTATGGTTGCGCATGCGCAGTCAGGCCGAAGGGCAGAAATGATTTGAGACCCCTACACCATAAACCCCCTCAGCCCCAAATCCTAGACCCTAAACCCTAAACCCTAAACCCCCAAATCCTAGACCCTGAAGCCCGAAAGATCCTCATGTAGGGGCCTTGATAATTAGAAGTTAAACAGTCCCAAGCCCTAAACCAACAAAATCCCGAAGCCCTAAACAGCTCCCCAAGATACTTTGTTGAATCCGCTTCATGGAAGCCTTCTAGCACTTTGTTACGTGCCGCCCTCTCTCGGGTTTCTATAAAGGGACGCCAAATTTAGAGAAGTACCCATAGCGGCCTCCAGACAGATCCCTGAACCCTCCTTATAATAGAACCCTTATGGTACCTTCAAAGGAATCCTTAAAGGAACCCTGAGGGTATGTGGACCCTTCATGGAAAGATCCATGTCCAGACCATCCAACACCCCTTCATTAATTTGATTTTGACTCAAATTGGGGTTCCTGCTACTGTTTAAAGTATTTCCGTAAGTAACGGATACTGGACAGTCTGGGGCCTGAACATATCCCGCTAAACCCTAAACCTCAAACCCCTAAACCACTAAACCCCTAAACCCCCAAACCCCTAAACCCTAAACCCTAAACCCCAAAGCCCCTACACCTTAAACCCTGAACCCTGAACCGCTAAACCCTGAGCCACTAAACCCTAAACCCTAAACCCCTAAACCCTAAACCCTAAACCCCTAAACCCCTACACCCCTAAACCTCTAAACCCCAAACCGCCAAAACCCCCAAACCCCCAACCAAAGCCCCTAAACCCTAAACCCCTAAACCCCTGAACCCCTAAACCCCCAAACCCCGAAACCCCTAAACCCCAAAACGCCAAAACCCCCAAACCCCTAAACCCCTAAACCCAAAGCCCCTAAACCCTCAACCCCTAAAACCCCTAAACCCCTAAACCCCTAAACCCCTAAAACCCCTAAACCCTAAAACCACTAAACCCCTAAACCCTAAACCTCTAAACCCTAAACCGTCAGGAGACTAACATCCTGCACCCT